TGAAAAGTTTTAAGTAATACCTTCCTAAAGGCCCTAATTGTTAAATAAGATATGATCCTTTAATAAAATTTATCTTAACATGTATCAAATATCTTCTGATCTTGCTTTATACTTGTTAATATTTTCCCATAGCATATAACCATCTCTAATCCCGTAAGGTTACTCGCATGCAATCTATACGCTGATCTGAACAATAAAACACAGCTACACACTTACTGTTTGGTTAACTTTGGGGAATTTCTAGGTATTGGCTTTCTTTGACTGGAAAAGTTTCTAGCTGAAATAGAATTTAGGTGTCTGTTATGAAAAATAAGTGTGCAGAGATTTAAGCTGTGCCTGACAGATACACTCGTTACACAAAGATACTACTTCTGGTGTAATGGACGATAATAAGCATAATTGTACTGATGTGTCATGAACTCAGACATAAAAGCCCTTAATGCAGTGTATCTAACACTAGGGCTATTTTTTTTTTTATTATTTTATTTTAAAAATGGTTCTTTCAGCTCAAAACCCCACTGCCTAATGGAGAGAGTTCTTACTAAGCAAACGTAAGTTTGTATGGTATTGGGATCACATTGTAATAAAATGAAATGAACAAAGCTACATGTGCCACATCAGAGTTTTAGGTCTACCTCTAACTGCCTTTTAATGCACACATATGCATTAAAAAGACAGGTGAATGACCAAAGCCACTGAACATCATGCTCATATCAAGCTACTGAACAGGAAGAATGTGAAAATCTCTGATAATAATGAGGATTTTTCTTCTTTTGTGAGATGCAAACTCTTTGCTAATTCTTCTAGTTCAAATGAGTGTTAGTGGTTAAAGCACATGACTGACTAGGATTCAGGTCTACTGGGTGATAATCCTGGCTTAACTACAAATTTAGCAGATTTGTGCCTCAGTTTATCATCTCTACCATGGTTGTACAGTATGGTATTTGTTATCTGCCTCACAGCAGTGTGGCAGGTATTAATTAGTAAGTGTTTTAAATTATTCCAATGCTTAAAAATCTCTACTGAGTGCAAGTGGCAACTGCAACTACTCATTATCCCTGCAAACATGCACTGATTTAACTGTTCACCTGAAAATTGCTCATCTTTAGTGGGCTGACAGTTTTTCTCGTCCAGAAAGTCCACTCCAATAAACCTGTAGAAGTCTGTAAATATAATGTATTATAACTGTAATGAAAGAAAGGAAAAAAGCAATCCTTTAACATTACAGTACATCATAGCTTGTATACAAATTTCATTGTCATCTTTACATGATATATTTGATGCTGAGGACAATGATGATAAAACTCCCCAAAATAACAATAACCATACCCATCTTAAACCCTCAAGCAAACAAAGAAAATCCAAGCTTTATTTTAAAGAGAGATCTAAATTGAAACCAGAAATTTAGCATATTTGACTTCTGGAAGGTGCGATGTGCTTAGATTTTTTTTCACCCAGCCACATTTCAATATGGTTTATTATGGTCTAAATACAAAAATGGCCAAACATTTCTCCTTCTGGGTATACCCAAACATCTCTCTGTCCCAAGAAACTAAGAATTTCAAAACTTCTGTTGATTTCACAATCTTATCATGAATTCATGAAATTAAGGCACCAGTGAAAGCCATGCCAGATCCTGACAGCAAACAGTTTCCTAAATGAAACATGAGCATTATCATTTCAGTTTATGTCTGCTTAAAAGATACAAAAGCATTCCTCAAAAGAAAACAACATTACCAAAGTAAAGATAATCCCTTGGAAATGCTAAAGAGAATCAAAGCAAGCCAGTTGCCTAGAATATTTTTTGCATAAATTATCAGAATCTATACAGTCTGTATACACCAGAGTTTCATTAAGATGTGTTGTGTGTACATTGTGTTAGCGGTCACATTTGCACAGGCATACATTTAAGCAACTGGATGCAAGAGCTGGTCTATCAGATGCAAGAAATACACATCTTTTGATCTGTTACTCCTCTCTGGGTAAAGGTGATATTCTACTGTTAGCATTGCAAAACCCTTCCTTTCCTGTTTCTTAAGACATACAAATACATAAAAATATTCATACATACTAAAGAGATACTTAAATATAAGCCTCCAGAAAGAGCACAAACCTACAGGATAGAATACAAATTTGGCAGGCATTAAATTATGCTTCGTGCAAGCACAATCTTTCATTCCCTGTGCCATTTCAGAGTTTCTGCAGTGGGGGAGAAAATGGAGGTAACAATGCAAATCTTACTAGGAAATATTTCTACTGACTGGGACATACAGAGACCATATCTAGACTATAGGTGTGCTTACCTGTATGTTTGATGAGTCTTTATCTAATTAACGCAGCAATACGAACAGCTTGATCTTACAAGCCTATACACATTAGTAGTTCACCCAAAAAATGACATAAGACTATGCACTTAAATGGAGTTTTTCAAAAAACATGCTTGCTGTTCACAAACATAAATTATTTCCTTTCACCTGAGACAGAATAAGAAGATTGAGTCTCAATTATTTATATGCTTTTGGATTTATCATATTTTCATCTTAATAATTAATCACATTTCCACCAAATCTATATTTATCTGTTTTAACTATACTGAATGAGTCCCTCATCTATTTCTGAATCTCTCATTTCTCTCTCTTCTATTTATTAATTCCTTTTACTAACAAAAATCGGGATGCTCAAAGTGAAGTTGAGTAATTTCAGGTATAAATCCAATACCATGGTTCAGTTACAACACAGCAAGGCAAAGTGTGCAATTTCTTTGCTTTACTATGTGGATATTACATGTTAGGTTTTTTCAATCTAAACATTTATGGAAACAGGGGTTTGGGGCTCATGGTTTTTGTGCCCTAATAAATTTTAAATGTATTTGTGGCGCTGAACCAACCTTCTCTTAGCAGTAGGTGCCTGCGAGATAATCACATTCCTCGCCATCTCTGTAACTACATTTAGATCTTTCTGTTTTAGCACAAATATTTTTCATGTTTTCTGCTTGGGGAACAGATTATTTTAATCATCTTCCTCTTGCATTTCTCCAAGCAGTTTTCATGCCACTTCAATGTTTAGTCATACAAATAAAACTGATGGAGTCTACTTATGGAAAATCTGCCATGATCTTATGTTTAAATCAATATGAATAATGCAGGACAAAGTAATATAAATTTAAAACTTCCATACTTTCAAAGTATTTGCATGCTTCTTTGTGTGTATTCAAAATTTTAGGAGATTCACCCATAAGAAGAGCTTTTCCATTGCTTTAATAGGCACTGGATTTTATTCTTCATGTCAAAAACCTGTAAAAGAGGTTAATCTAAGAATCGTATCCTATTTTACTGCTCTAGAAGTAGAAAAAAAAATTTGTGCATTTCAAAGCTTTCAAAATCTAGGGCTTAAGAAAAACATTTTTAAGAGATAATAGTGGCTACCCGCAACTTCTACTTATATTTGTGTAAACAGTAAAAATAGCCCAACAGCACTATCAAGTCTCTGCATTTGAAAGCTCACAGTTTTAGAATGAATATATTGCAACACTAACATAGACAACAGAGCTACTAAAGAATTTGCTACAGAGCGACAAGGAGATTTTAGTTCACAAATGGCTCTGCTGACTCATGAAGGTAAACGAGCTTTATAACAGGAAAGGAAACAGGAACAATTCCTATTACATTAAAAGCTACATAAAGGCTTTGGCATACACATTCTATAATACCAAAAGGAAAAAATGACATTCAGGAGAAGAAGATAGCCTAAACAGCACACCAGTGATCTGGCCAGAAAAAACGAACACGTTCACATGAGTGCAGTAACGTATGGAGTTTTGCAGCATATGCTGAGGCTGCAGCAGAAGCACTGTACTTGTCAGCTTTGCATCTGGAATCTTTTCTGGCTTCCTTCTGTGTAGCTATAGGTGCTGACCCTACTGCTGGAAGAAGAAGATAAGCAAAATGTTTTAATCTGTACACTAACTATTGAAATTCATAGTGTAAACAAGTATTTTAGGAAACTAAGTTATTCCAAATAGATTGTTTTCTTTGCCCTCATTCCCCCATTACACCATTTGAAGCAGTGTGTAATTGTGTATTGTTTCTAATGACAGGAGACTTTTTAAGGTGAAACTCATGTGATATGCATGGCTACTACAGTAGGACACTGCATAGTCACACTTAGTGTGCTAGTGAGATGGGAGAATAATTCCATACAGAGTTGCAGAACAGAAAAGCAAACACACTTTATCTAGAAAGATATTTGTAAATGACAGTTAATCCATCAGTACCTTAAATTTATCGGCATCTTCTTTTGCCTTTCCCCAAAGGAAACTGAGGAGCTAACAATAAAAGAAAATGAGATGGTGGTAGTGCAAAATATGTTAAATGCACATTATAAACATCAGTGGTGGCCAGTCAACATCACAACAGCAGATCTAGACCCCAAGTAGCTTTTCAAGGAGCAAAGAAAAACCACGATGACTATGTTTTGTCACTAAGAAAAGAGCTCCAGGGTGTCCCAGTGCCAATGATAGGAAGATGCTGACAAACCAGATAAATTTTCAATGTAGTTCTCTAATCTTCAAAGAATATAGAGTGAGTATATTATATTCTTTAAGGATATTTCCCATATCCTGAAGTAGTTCCTCTTCACATTTGTTTCTTCCACAAACTTATTTCCAGGCAAAATGTATTAAAAAGACATTTCCAAAAGAGCCTCATGGGGTGGAAATACTGTTTCAAGTATTACTGAAGATTAAGAGAGTGTGACAATAGAGTTGTTATGGTCACACCTATGTTTCTAAAGGAAATGGATACTGTTCACTTCAGCCATATAAAGAGCAATTGCACTGAAGTCCAGATGTTTTCACAGATTTAAAAGCTTTGGAAAAAAAAAAAAAGGAAAAAACAGATCTCCTAGTCTTATTTGAAATACTAAGATGATAGAAATACAGCCTCTCAGTGGTGTTGTGTCCATCCTGCCCCCACGCCCCTCAGATGACTGTGAAGCAGTACCTAATCCCTCATTAGTGTGCAGTGACTCCACACCCCTGCTGTGCCCCAGGTATTCGTGCTCTAGATCTTCATCTATTTTGATTAATGCACAGTCACATGGGGCAATATTTAACCCACCATTTGATCGTTCTCCATTTATGTCATTTCCCCGCATCCTTTTTGCTGTGTGGCTATATTCCACAGCTTTCTCACTTTTCTTCTCCACTCCTCTTTCTTTCTCTTCTCCAGTTGGCCATGCCCTAGCTCTGATCCCATGCAACTCAGCATTAATCACTTCATTCCCGCCCTTTGTTTCTTCCCCCAAGGTGGGCATGCCCCAATACTTCATCTGCCCTCCTTTACACATCAAGGATCAAGAGTTCAGATCTCCTCTCATTTTCACCAGAGGACATTACTAATAACATCACTGGATCTCAGTGGAATGAGGTCTGAAGTTGGGCTGTCTCTCAAGAAGCAACAGTATAATGTAAGTATCAGGCCCTGGCAATTATTTAGTCATAAAGAGTCTTTCTGTCTTGGGAAAACTCCTATCTATTTAACTATCGTGTATATTAAATGTTAGCTTATAAGACCCACAGTGGCAGGCTGCAGACTAATTTATGTTTAACTAATACCAGTTTCAACAGTACAGAGTTAATATATGGGGGACTGGAAACTAAAATGTACTGCCTCCATGCTGCTAATCTTGAAATGTATTAAAAATACCCAAAGCAGCTGCAGGAATGGAGACTGTCAATCCATCAACAGCAGTGATCGCTATCAAAAAGTTGGGGGGAATTTGTTTGTCAAAAAGAAACAGAAATAAAAATCCAAAGCTTGCCAAGATCTTTGGAATTAAAATAATAGAAAATTAATTTTGGCAAGAAAACAGAGGAATTACAGAGCCATAAGACAGGTTAAAAAGCAAGACTTCCTTTTCATTTACTATGCAATGCTTATCACCTCAGCTTTGTTCCATCTCCCATGAAAAAACTATTTCATAATCTAGTCTTTAAAACCGTACTAGCCATTCTCAACATCAGATCTTTGCAGTTCTGCTGGCTAAACGGAGAAGTGAATGCAGCTAGTCCAGGCAGCCTGCATATATGGTAACCCGACAGGGAAAAAAAAACAACACAATTTTAGTCAACAAAGTTCCATACGAATGGCATAATATCTTTTCAGGCATGTACTTAGCAAAGTTACAGAGTAGTAACTCTTTTCTCCGTTTTTCCATGCACTATTATCATAGCATCTTGCATGTATTTAAAAGTTGAAGCTTGTATGACTGTTTTTCCATGAACTCTTTGCCAAAAGAATGATTCAGCCCAGCAACAGAACCACTTCCCATTCTTATCTGAACTTAAAAATGTCTGGTCAGACCAAAGTCTTCGTACTAAATTTCCAAGCCAGGCAAGAGTTTTAAAACAAAGGAAAACACAAGACAGTATGAAAATTTTTATGGCTACTAAAAAGGGAAGATCATTAATGTCTCAAGATGCTATGCAAGTTACAACATGATAGCAAGTAAAATGAATTGAAACTACATTGTAATATGATGTTCCTGTGGCTCCATCCTACTTTTAACTGTTTCTGCCATAGAAGGAAAATGTGATCCATCTGTTGGATAGATACTTAAGGAAAATGACTCCTTGCAGGAATCAGAGACTATTTGTGTGGGTGGTATTTAAGGTCCTATAGCTTTCGCTGGGTATGTTGACACAAAACGACATTAAAAAGGAGTAATATCAGCCCAGCAGGAGTTACATAAAAACAAAATATACTTTATCTTTTTATCTCTGTTTCAGTATGCACTAAAAAAAAATAAACAGTTATTTTTAGTACCTTTTGTGTGATGCATAATAATGAAGGAAGCAGATTTATACAAACTCATAAGCACAAGATTAGGGCAACAGAAAGAGATTATCCCATTTAATTAAAGACTTACCACTGTTTGTGCGTAAGTCTATTTCTACAAGGACTAGGGTCAGTGCAAAAATTAGTAATGCACACAGATCACTTCAGACAGACTTCATCAGCCCTGTTCTAAAATAAGTTCCAACAATTTAAAATATATCAACCACAAAATAGTTTTTGAATATCATGGTTTCTTATCTTCAAAGTCCTCCTACAAATGGTTTCACACACCATGAAATCCTAAATTGCTTTAACATACATAAAATAGGTAAGCCCATCTTCTCAAGAAGCAGATCATTTTAGAGTTCACGATAGCCAATTCAGTCAGTTTGCCAAATTTATTTAGAAAATGTGAAGTAATTTATTCTTGAATTAGATAGAATTAGCTACAAGAAACTCAAAGCAATCTCACACACTACCCTAATTCATTTCTGTTGGCTTTGGGTTTTGGTGGTAGTATTTTTTTAAATAATGATTCCTGCCTGTAAAAAAGCCATCTCTCTCTCATTTCCGCATGTGCAAAACATCAACATTTTCCCATCTCCCACACGTGTTTTGTCTATGAGGCTCTGAACTTGCAGGGATTTCAGTACATGTTCAAGCTATATAGGCAGGGACTTGTTGCACTCAACTCAAGCCTCACTTCGATGAGTGCTTTGTACTGTACACAGCTAGATATCCTCCACCTTGCATATGCATCATTAAACAGAAACCTAATTAATCAATATTGTTAAAATAAACATGGTGGCATTTCAAAACAGGAAGATAACTACTTTTTTCACCCGACAGCCATATAGGTATTTTATTATGCATCACAGGTAGTGTTAAAACTAAAGGAAAACAAGGATTTGTGCCAGTCTGTACTTCATAAATTAATTAATAATATTAAGTACTAGGCTGAACACAGAAGAGCACTCCTTTTTTGAAAAGATTTCAAAAGATATTTTTTCTGTACAACATGCAATTAAGAAAAATAAAATCCAAATTCTGAAGTGTTGTGTAATCTGAGACAAACTTGTTCAAAACCTTCCAAAATCAAATCATTATGAGGTTCCTGTTACAAATCAAAGCAGCAATAAAAGTATGACTTCTTCTTAAAAAATAATTAGAAGAAAAGCAGATCGGAATCTGGTATAGCAGAGATCTAATGCAGTTTAAGGGAGCTGATCCAAAGTTGTTGTCTCAGTCATGGACATTAGGAGAAAATTAGTCTCTTTACTGACTTCAACAGAAATTGAAACATATGATTAAAAACATGTATATTCTTAGATTTTAAGCTGACCCCTTTTGTTTGTCTGTTCCCACACAGCAGATCTGCCAGGGTGACCTCCAGAAATCTCACCAGCCATGCCTGACTCACCTTTACAACCATCCCACTCTCTACCAGATTTATATAGCAAACCTGCTCTCCTTACTATCCCAATGACTATGCATTTATTTATTTAGCAGGGTACTTGCCCCAGCTTCTTCCTTAGAGAAACAAAAACATTCTTGGGTGCAACCATGTCTCCCAGGTTTCTCTCCAAACAGAGACAGCTCTGAAGTTTCCTCTGCAGATTCCCACTCTTCCCTTCCATAACCAATTCATAAGCTTAAAAACCTTGTTAAAAACATGAAACTCTCAGAGACAAGTGCTTGCCAATTCCAGTAGCTAACAATATGCAGGCATCCATTTAATGCACATGAACACAAACACATACACACACACAGACACACACACCACCTTTGTACATTAAAGCAAGGTGTTTAAAAACATTTTCCTCTTTTATCCACTTGCCAGCTTTCAGTGCCTCTTGAAAAAGTCAGTAATATCACAGACATCTAGGGAAAAGTTTAATTCCATCAACAACTAAAGCAGTTTAGATTTTATACGATTGAGGAAACACAAAACTTGCCAGGTCTTGCATCTTAATAGATTGCATTCTGCTTTTAAATCCACTTTTTTGATGAACTGAATGGAGCCCTCTGCATAAGCAGAAATCTAACTCCACAGATACTGTGGCCATATCTGATTACAGATACAGATTATTGGTTTTGGAAATTTATCATAAAGGTACTGATGGCAGTGTCATATTTAAGGTCATGTTGAGGCTTATATATTTCTTTTTCAAACTTTGAAGACTGAATTTTGTTTTAATATTTAACACAATACATTCAGAAAACAGATTGATCTATATTATTTGCTTATTAAGGTGTTTCCTTTCATGCTTAGTAAATGCATTAAAATCAAATATACCTTTTAAAACATTTTCATTAAAATGTCAGTGTTTATCTTGGTCTCAATAGCTAATGAACCACAGCCTACAAATTCCAGACAGCCAGACAAATACTTTTAGGCAGAGGGCTCTTGCAAATTTTAAACACAGAGACGGGCTTCATTTTCTAAAGAGAAGCTGAAGAAACTACCCAATTATTTCTGTCATTTCATGCTGCCTTCTTAGCTTCAAACCTCTTACGCCAGTGGTTTCTGACCTTAGATGCTTTTTTGTCCTCTGCTTACCCAGATCTCAGCAGTGTTTCTCCAGATGAACCAGCAAAGGAATATTAAAAAGATACTGGGGTGAAAGCTGCTAAGGAGCAGAGCTGTGAGAAGGTTCTCTGCAATCACTGCTTCTTCTACTCACCCATCTCCTGCTGCCAGGTTTTTCTTCCTAATTAGAGTTTTTCTATCCATTACAGACTTTGCTTATTTCCACATTTAATGTTTGCATCAGGAGATGTTGGAAAGATGAGGTGAATGAGGGACTGTGAATGAAAGATGGCGATGAAGGAAGAGACATGTGGGGGAAGCACAGGTAGCTACAGTAGACTGGATTTTTCCAGACAATGAGCTTTCTGGTGGTAAAGCAAGATTTGGAAAAATCACAGAACAGATCTATTCAATAGCAGTATGGCAATCTAAGCAACACCGGAAGGGAGTGCAGCTGATGTATCCCAGCCAGGAAGGCAGGGGAAGGAAGAAAGATATATCTGAGGGACAGTGATATTATAACAATAATAAAACTACAAAGAACAGCCTACAGAAAAAAAATGGCATTAGCCAAACTTAAACAGTAAAATACATGCCAGCCTTGACTTCCTTAGTCTCCTTTGCCTAACACTTCCACTGACACATTTAGCAAACTCTGTGGCTCCTCAGCTAACCCCCAGTTTCAAAATGAGAGCCACCCCCACCAAAATCACTTCCACGTAACTATCCTTAGTTTCCATCTTCCCATTTTCTGAACCACTTTCACACAAGTACCTTTGTGCTGATCCCATATCCTCATTTCTAGTCATAATCAAGGTACAAGCATCCAATCCTTTTTAATAGAGCTTGTCATTACCTCCATTGAAAAGAAAAACGCTCAAGAACCAAATATGTGTTCTCTGCTAAAGAACACATAATCACTCAAGGCTAACAATCTTTCCAACTGT